ATGAACGTACGTGTGTGATTGAACATACGCTCATCGAAGAATTTATGGGAATCATGACTTTTATTGGCCGATACGAAAAAGTCGTACTTCCATTTTCCTTTTCCGTTTGCGAGCAAAAGTCACCACGGTGAAAAAAAAAGAAAAAAAAGACGCTCGCCGTCACGCGATCGAAATCACAGCAATGTCTGCGGCAGTGCTTTAGTGAGAGAGTATCGAATAAAGCGTCTCGTCAATTGAAACTAATTCTTATCACCTCAATCATTTGCAACAACTCCAAACATTTGCGGAGATTTGGTACACACGCTGCGCCCTCCGCCCGAATGCAATTTCTCGCCCGTAGTAATCGGACTCGCCTCTTTAATCAATGCAGTGCAATAGTCTTATAGGGATACCGTTGTTCTATCGTGTATTGTCAATCGTCACGATCATGCTTCTGTCATGCACGACACGAATAGCCACACAGATCAGCCATCACCACCGCATTCTTCCTTCGCGCTATATCTTTAGTTTCAAGCAGGCATCACACACACACACACTTCTTCACGGATATTAGCAGTTACTGACAAGTTCATATCTTATCACTAAGCATCGTACATTTATACGTAATCCACCTCAGATCTTGTAGCCATACACATCGCGAGGGCCGAGCTCCGTTTGGCGTACCACATGTTTCTCCCTCCCCTCTCGAATCCGATGACCAATTAATATTTCACTGCGCGTTCTGCGAATAATTAACGCTTGTGATTACGCTTCGGTGAATCTAGGATTCGTAAACTAATCGAACAAAGGTTTATTGTAAATGTTATTTTCGATCAAACGGGAGTCGAATCGAATCGACCTTGTTACCGATAACAAGTCGTTCTATTCCCGAGAACCTGAATCTATCACACATCCGAAATATGAAGTAAAAGGAAAAAGGAAAGACGAAGGAGACGAGACAGAGGAGAAATTTATGGAGACCGAAGAAACGTGCGACACCACTGTTCTTCTTTCTTTTCCTACGTTCGATAAAAAAGTATCCGTCGTGTACCTTAATTCGCCTACGCGGAAGTGCAGATCTACTGTTCATATATAGTCGCGAATCGATGTATATTGATTAAAGAAAAAAAAAATATGTATTTGTTCCTAAAGAAATATTAAGAGTAGTAATATGCCGTAAAAAGAATATTAATATTAATAGTAATGATAACGAGATAATTTGATGGTACATACTTTCTTATAAGTAACATTACACATTATTACGATTACTGTAGAGTTGGTACGGTTCTTGAGGATGCCTTGCCTGTAAATGTAACATATGTTAAATGAAAAAAAATCTTATTATCTTGTAAATGTTTTACCAAATATAATCGATTATTCAACTTATACTTATTCGGACTTGTTTCCTTCAATTGTCCAACGTATCCTATATGCGTCGATATATCGGCAAGATTTACAATTCGGTGAAGTATAATTTTTCTTTCTCTTATTTTTCTTTGTCGCGGGACCTTTCGCATGATTAATGTCGATTGAAAAATCCCGTAATGTCGCGACTCGCACGATCATAAATATCCTCATGCATAATCGCGATGCTTTTAAATGCTACAAGTAATCGACTCGATAATGTATTATTATATGTATATGTGTATCGGACGAAATGGAAAGTCGAATGAGCACCGTGTGTGCAAGATCATGATCTTGGCTCTGGATTGTGAAACTATCCTCTCGCAACAATGTGGTAAGATTTAAAGGCTTAAAGGATTAATAGGCTTATTACGCCTATTCATTCACTTTTTCGAGAAATTCTTGCGCACGGACACGGACTTCTTTTATTTTATACCTCGCCAAATATGGAAGTTTTTACGTAACGTAAAAAAATAAAGAAATTAATATACAAAAGTCGACATTTTAATCTAATCAAATTACAATATTTTATTGCCGGATAAATATTTTCCTTATATCAGCATTTTTTTCCTTTACGCAAAAGATATCGCTGAAGCGTGAAGTAAGTAGATAAGCGAAATAATTGCATTCTAATTAACCGAGTCATTCATCGTATTTCGCAATACGGATCTGAGAAATGATATCGTTCCGCGGCAATGTAACGTGGACTTACGCGGCGCTCAATAGAAAGTCAAACAAATAGCCAGCGCGATCTTCGACGCAAGGAGATTGCAAAACGGCACCGGTTACTTGAATAGAGCGACTAAGATCACGTTGGAAGGCCGCGTACAAATGCCTCAATGATTACTCGGCCAAGGACTTTTTCCATTAATATTTTTAAACTCTCTTAACATTACAAAAAAATATTCAACAAATAATAATAATAATAATAATAATCTATATACAAATATATTCAGATTTGTCACAAATATATCAGCAAGCAATATAAATTATTACTAAATTATTGCTAAAGGAAATTGCTACCTCGTAATATAGTATTACATATAATTTTATGTT